GGGTGTATCATTGGACTGCCGTTTTGGGGCCTGTCTGGGGTTTGGAGGGTGCACATGTTATAGTCATTTTAGTTGTGATGCCTCTCACCAGAAATGAATGTTAGTAGCTTTTGCAGCCAGAAATGACATTGGGAGAGTTAATTCTCTGCAAGAGTTACTTCTGCAAAGGAGCTCAGCATTAAACAGGCAGCAGCCTAGAAGCACTCGCAGCAGACTTTGCCCTCATAAGAAGCCGCTAATGTGCCCGTTTCCCTTGTGTCCCCAGGTCGGATTCGCACGAGGAGGCAAAGCTCCGGAAGTGCCACGAGCGTCACCTCAACGCCTGCCGACACCCGAGGCCGCAGCCGAGCTAAAGTGGTTTCTCAGTCCCAGCGTAAGGAGCTTTCTGTTTGCTGGGGGTGGGCATCCAGAGGGGCGGTCTTCTCATTACCTTTCCACTCGTATTGTGATCGTTTCTGAAGGCTGCGGTAAGCACTTGGGCTTTGTCATGCTGCACGCGTGTCGAAGAAAAAGGTGGTTCCTCCTTGAAGCAGCTTCGGTCTAAGTTGGCACGAACAAACGGGGCCCAACATTTGACTAATGACGCAAACTAGAAATTGCTCATTCCTTCCTCATTGCACAGGATGATTGACCAATTTCTGGTGCCTATGTTTGTACATTAGGTTAGAAAAGAAATGTTGGACTTAAATAAGCGAGCCACTCCTAATTGAGACCCGTTCTGTACATCTGCACCCTGCTGCTGCCTCTTGGGTTCTTGCTCTCCTCTTGCTTACATGATCGTTTCTCCACATTTGTTTAAACATGAGCTGTGTAAGTTAATGTGCGAAATAGTGGTCTGAAATGAGATGCTTTCTCTCCTGCATAGAGTTCAGGCAGGGAGAGAGAGACCTGGTGTTAGATTCTCGGCTTCGAAGTTCTGGTTTCTCTCGTGGCATGTCTTTGGGATGTGTCGGGAGAACAAAATTCCTGCCACGTGTTTGGGAAAGGGGACGTTCAAGGATGTTTAAGGGGCACGCACATCAGATACGTTCCTCTCCGGGAAGGGAAGAGGCTCTTCATAACCTGAGGACTCATATATTTGTGTGGGAGGGTGGGGATTGGAAGGTGAGGCACCTGTTTTGTTGTGAGGGCTTGTCCTGCTTCGTAGCTTCATTGACCAACGTCTGCTCTGTCCATGCTGTCGCTGCTTCCCTGTACGTCAGACTGGAGGGGTAGGAAGCAAGGAGCGCCCCCAGGTTCAAGGGAGGCAAGGAAACAAAACCAAGAAACCTTCTCGCAGACTTTCACCCCAAGTGGTTCTGGACCCAGACCTGATCCAAAACCCAAAGTGGCCTTTTTCCTGATCCTAGTTCAGACAAAGCTGAAACATTGAGACGCATTCCAGGTCAAGATGATGGAAATCTCATGAAAACAGATTTGTGGGGCTTCAGAGGAATCCAACCTGACCCTGATACCTAGGCCTGTTTGGTATCAAATGCTAGCCCCAGCCTAACCCATTCAGATCTGAACATCAGCTCCGGGGCCGAGCGCCACGTGAAATAAATTGCGCTGAAGCAGCAAACATAGCACAGACATGAGGTCAAATCTTCCTGTGACGTGCATACTGGGCAGCCCTGCTAAATTTTGCAGACTAGCCCATGGTGTGAGTTAGAGCAGCATTTAGCCCACCATCGATGGCTGGCTTTGCTCAAGGAGATTGGTCAAGCAAGGGAGATTCAGGGTTAGTGGAGAACGCTTGCAAGCTAGGCCCGCTTGCTCCTCTGTACTTCCACCCACTGCATTTTGCAGAGGCTCAGGAGTGACACATGCTTGTGAATAAATCCGTTTGCCTTGTGTATAGCGTATTTTGCATGCTGAACTCTGTATTGTCTTACTGTCTTTTAATCCACTTTTTGCCTGTCCTTTTGTCTGCCCTCATAAACAAGGATCCAGATCAGCTAATCCTGCTGGTGGTAAGAAACATTTTCCCTTTCTCGCTGTCTCTCACATGCTCTCTCTTTTGCATTTTTTTTCAACTATTGCAACTGCCGCTGCAACCTCACATGCTCTGATTCACTGTTAGAGGGCTAAAAGACTTGTTTGTAAACTCACTCAAGATAGATGTGGATTGTGATTAAATTAACTCGTCCGTCGTGTACGCACATTCTGGGCAATGAGGGTAAGGAGGTCCTGTAGGGACTGGGAGGAAGAGCCTGTGA